TTTATATAATATTATATATTTTTTTATATAATATTATAATTTCAAATAGAAAACCTATTTGAAATCTAAATAATATATAAATCTAAATAATAAACTTAAAACTTTGTAAATATTACAAAGTTTAATATATATTTTGAATAACATGACATGTTACATATTAATTGAATATTTGAATTTGTTTCAACTGCATAAAATTTGCAGTCTATTACTTATCATAATGTACATATAATAATATTTTTCACAAAAAACTTAACAAGATATGATTTTTATTTTAGTAGAAAATAATAGAATGAGATAAAAGAAAATAAAAAAAAATTTAAAAAAAGTGAAACAAATAAAATTATATTGTGCATAAAAATTTTTAAAACATGAAATGTTTTAAAACTGATATTATAGAATTTAGAAATTATTGAATTTAATTATTGAAAATCCTTACTTAAAATTTAAAAGCTTAAATCCATTATACTTGTTTTTATTTAAATTGTAATTTTTTATTTTATATTTTCAATCATTTTCATACTAAAACTTTTTCTATACATCTATTTTATTAATTTTTCAATTCATTAAAATTTCAAAAAATTTCATATATTCATGCAATATTTCTATTATCTTTTCTTATCAACAAAAAAATTGATATAATTTTATGATTAAAAATCAATTCAGATAATATTATCTATATTTACTTTGAAGAAGCAAAACAGATACATATAATATAGAAATTAATTTCATCAATGATAAATTTTTTAAAAGTTTTTTAAAATTACTATAAAAAAATCTTTTATATTTTAACTATATATTTCAAATAAAACTATTTGATTTTTTGTGGAATTTCTATAAAAATTTTATATTCATTTAATTGATACTAAATTGAAATTTCTTTTTATGTTTTTATGTTTTTCTAATACTTTTAACATTTTGTATAAAATTTTTTATGGAATATATTTGTTATATTACTTAAACTTTAAATTTAACAGGAAACAATTTTATGAAAATAATAAATGTTTAAAAATGGAGTTGTTATTAAAAAAAAAAAATAAAAAAAAGAATATGATATAAGAAAAAAATTACACAATAGATACAACGATAGATACAACGAGAATTTATTTATTTATTATATTTATTTTTGAATTTATATTGAATGAAGTCGATTGAAGAATTTATTAATAATAGTAGATATTAAAAAAATATAATTTTAGAAAAACTTTAAAAAATATTTTGAATATTTAATATTTAATTATATATTGAATTTTGAATATTTAATTATATATATATATATTCTAAATTTTTAAAATTCATATCAAATAATATATTTTTATTCTTTCTAGGACAAATAATATAGGATTTGCTTTCTAGGACAAATAATATAATAACAGAAGATGACTTTATATATGAAAATGAATCAAAAAAAGAAATTTAAAAAAAAAATTTTGTATGAGATTTCATTATCAAGAAAATGAGTATAAAAATTTTTCGTAAAATGTATTTACTTACTGTACTATACTGTAATATAATTAATGTTATTAATATATTTATTTATATTATTAATTATTATATTTAATATAATTCTAATGAAATATCAATAAATTATTAACAGAGATCCAGAATTTTCTATATGTGAAAATAAGTGAATAGAATAATTCAAAAACAAATTTCGAAAATATCGAATTTAATTTCTTGATTATATATTTTTAATATCGATTTTCTAGGAAAAATAACAAAATTTTCTCTAGAATAACAAAATTATAATATTTTATTATACAATTTCTTTACATATTTATAGAATAATTTTTGAATGATGATTTACTACCATCCAGGCATTAAGTAAATTTATTTATTAAATTAAATTTATTTGAAAGTTTTTAAATCCGATTTATTCAAAAATAAAATTTTAAATTTTATTCTTCTTTCTTAATTTTTTTTTTTTTGTATTATCTTTTATAGAATGTTAATATATTTGTAATTTTAAAGACTAAAACATTTTAGTTTATTTTCATGAAACTTATAATTTATAACTTATGCTTTATAACTTATAAATAAAGAAACTTATAATAAAGAAACATCAATTCACATTCATTTTATACTAACTTTTATGTTTATCTTGTCTTTTTGATATTCTATAATGTCAAATATATATGTATGCACGTACATATTAATAATTTATACATATATTCTTGTATTCTTAAAACATTTTACAATCATACAAATTCAAATATTAATCTTCAAAATAAAGTCAATTATTTTAAATTGAGCAAAAACAAATAACTTCTTATGTCATAAAACATATTTTATTAAAACAACCTATACATATAATATATTTTTGTTTTATATATATTATATCTCTATCTTGAGATATAATTTTATATCACAATATTTATAATATTATAATTTGAAATATCTAAAGTTCAAAAATACTTTTAAAAATATTCAAAACAAAATCTATTATTTCAAATCGAGCAACACACGTGGCTTCGTAACGTCATATCTCATCTGTCTCCATTATTCGCGACGAATCCTACAATCTATCTCTTCCCGTATGATAAAGTCATCTTGTCACCCACTCACATTGCTTTAAATCTCCAAGAGTATCGACGAGCACATCGCACATCATTGCCTCCCATTCGTTCCTACCGGTTAGATTGTGCTTCCTCGCCAAGTATCTTGCTACCGCGTTACTCTGCGCTATCGGTTTCCCGTCTATCTCCAGCACTGGCAGCATTCCATAAGGCATTGCTGAGAATAAATACGGATTCGTATGAACGCTATGTATATGTCGAAAAATATTGGAAAACAATTGCAACATCAACTTTCAAAGATGTGTTCTTCTGAATAGAAAGGATAAAAAACCATTGCCTCGGTTTTAATTAATATAGCCCAGTAACGAGACGCGAAATATTATCTTTGTATTTTTTTGTTTTTCTTTTTTTTTTATGATTTTTTTGGTGAACGTTAAAAGTATGACTTGGATGGTTTAAGAAGTTTCTAATTATGATTCTTTTATATTATTTGATCATAAAAATTTTATTTTTATTATACTTTTTTACGTTTGTAAGATGGCTCTTTGCTGTTTACCTCTAAAATACAGAAATATAGTATTTTATTCTCTGATATAAAGATACATAAAATTTGCAAAATTTCTTAGATATTTTTCTTTAGATATAGATTAGATATTATTCTTTTGAAAAGATGATTGAAAGATAATTTCATCTCTGCAATGATACAACGAATTTATTAATTCAGTAGTATAGTTGAAAATGTAAAACTTATATAATCTTTTTTTTAATATTTAATTATGTAGTTTCTTTTAATCTCTTATGTAAATATTTGAAAATGTATCGATGATTCTTCAGAATTTTTCGCATGATATAAATGATATACAAGCATATACAAGCTGACATCAGTGTACCATTTGATTGAAGAAAGAATATACTATTACAAAATTTGAAATGATGTTCTCTCTGTCTGTTTTGAAAAAGAATAGTTATTTTTTTAAAAATTAACTGAGAAATATAATTTAATTTAATACATTTAGCTTTCTTAAATAAAAGGAAAATTATATATTATTACATAAGTTTTCATACATGAAATTTTTTTGATAATTTTATTCATTAATGCATAATTGTATTAATCATTTGCATGAATCAACACAAAAGAATGAAGAAAGTTATATAAAAATTATTATATATATAATAATTTAAAACAACAATTTTAACAACAATTTTTAAACAACAATTAAAATTTTAACATTAATTTATTATATTTTAAATTATCCTTTATTTCATATTATAGATATATCAGTTATATATTATTCATATAATTGTTCGTAGATAGAATATAATTTTTAAATAGATCTTTATATAACATTATAAGATAAGATGATAATCTTTCCAAGGAAAAAATTATTATATATGTTTATAATTTATAATTTAATTAATAATAATAGAAATTATTTAAAAGAAAATAGCGAATCTAATTTAAATACTATAATTCCTACTTATAATTAGTATTATAATTTTAAAAAATTGTTGTTTTAAAAAAATTATTGTAAAAATCAAAAATAGATATAAAGAATTAAAAGCAATTATAAAATGAAATTTTAATATTTTTTTATAAGAAAAAATATGTATTTTCACAAAAAAAAAGTAATCAAGAAATTGTTTTGTTATGTAAATCTCTCTCATAAATTTGTTTCATAATTTTAATATTAGCAAAAATAAGAAATTGATATCGTGTACTTACATTTCTTCAATTCAGGCCAGCGTTCTTTGAGGATTCTCTCGTCGACATAGTCAATGTCAGCGTATGCAAATATATAGCGGATATGCTCGGCACGACCACGAGCGTTAAAGTAGATTAATTTGTAAATCGGTTGTCTTTCCGTCATTTTTCCTTATCTGTAGACTAGAAACAATAATATAATATAATAGTTCTATGTAATTAGAATAATTAAAATTTAATAAAATAAATAAAATTTGATAATTTTAAAGAATAGAATTATAATATATAGAATTATAATATA